TCCGGCCGAGGGCACATGCCTGGGTTGCCGGCTTGATCCCCAGTAGGGGGCATGCAGGAAGCAGCCAATCAGTGATTCTATCTCACCATTGATGTTTCTATCTCTCTTTCCCTCTCCCTTCCTCTCTGAAATCAATACAGTGGGGCCTTGACTTACAAGTTTAATTCGTTCCGAGACCGAGCTCGTTAAGGAGCTCGTTAACTCAAATTACTCTGTCAACTCAATGCAAAAAATCGGCTGAGAGACAGCTGGTATCTAAAAACACTCATTAGTCGGGACACTCGTAAGTCAAGGCCCCACTGTAAAGATATTTAAAAAAAAAAAGAACATGGACTTTGACAGAAACCTGAGCCCACTCTCCTAGCTCTACAGAATGATGTTTTTTAAGATAATAGTTTTGAGGGCTTCCTCTGTGACAGGCACCCTTCTGAACACATAATAGAAATTATCTCATGAATTTAGGCAATCATTTCATCTTTCTAAGTATGTGTTTTCTCTTTTATAAACGCATACAAAACAATACAGTCAGGGGAGAACTTCCGAGTCCTTCCTACTCAACATGGTTCTTCCTCTCTGTGGTGTGTTCTCTCTCTCTCTCTCTCTCTCTCTCTCTCTCTCTCTTTATGAAAAAGGAAATGTAACCTGGTCATTATGATGGGCATCTCCATACTCACTAGAGAGGCTATATCTTCAGTGATTAATCTGAGATTATGACTTCTCTCCCATCTGTGCTACGTGTTCCATGTGTTATTATTGCTTCTTGTGGGCTGGGCATCATGCTTATCATTGAAAATGTGATAAACAAGATGATGTGGTCTTTGTTCTCATGTGTCTTGGAGTTTCTGTCTCTTTCTCCCTTTTAACAAGGTTAAGTGACTTCTGAATTGTAACTTTGGGACAGATCTGGCACAAATCTTTCTTCTCTCCATCTCATTCAATAACAAAAGCTGAAGGACACTACTTCAAAATTTTTTCTTCTTCATGGGCAGATCATGAAAAACAAATCTGATGATGTTTTTCTTTGGCAGGGTTTAACAAAAATGAAGGAACTTCATAATAGATGCCATACACTTGACATTGGTACAGTTTTCTCAAGTCATGAAAATTAAATGGACAACTGTTTCCAAGCACTAATTTGAGATACATTTTATTTCAAAATTATTTTAATTTATGCTTTGGAAATCTAATTTCATATTGGTACAGTCTTTTCATTTCACTCTAAGACAGATAATAGGAGCTGCATTTTTGCAGCTGCACAGCTTTCAGTTTGAACCAGCAGAAAGGCATCTTCTGGTGATACTTAGAACACCTTGGAAATGTGCAGAATAGCCCCAGATCTGAAAGGAGTTAGTTGCAACTTTCTAATATATTAGGACTAGGGCAGACCAGACTGGAAACCATTCCAGCTTGCCTTTTTTTTTTTTGGAGGAGGCGACATTCCTTTCCTCTTCATAGAAGCTTCCGAGGGATGCCCAGCCCAAGCTTAAAAGCAGAATGGCCTATGACCTCCACTACCTGCCTTCAATTTCTGTCCATCTGAAAGCATGCCCTACTATTGCCCCAACACCACACTGAAACTGTCTTTTGTCCCGTGTCATGCCTTGTGCATTCTCTCCTCATGTCTTTGCTAATGGTCCCATCATTTTCTTTATCCAAAACTTTTTGACATTGAAGTACAAGGCCCAAGCTCACCTCCATTTAGCTCCCTTCTTCTCTAAGAGGTGCCCAGCCCACAAGAAGCTATTTTGAACTTCCGGTAACAGTCATTCCATGTATTTGACACACAATCATCTATTGCTCTGTGGTGTGTCATTCTCTCTATGTCAGAGCTGCTGCTCTGTGATTGAAACTTACACATCTGTGTATCTCCTCTCTTATCAAGGAAACTCAAATAAGTGTCTAGAACACAGTGATTCCAGCCAACATATTTCTAGGTCTTTTTGATAGGCTGACTTCATTATTTATGCCATACACAAGAGAGTCGGGCACAAGCTCTCACAGTAAACAGGAACAGGGTCTGTGCATATCTGTTAATTATACACTTAGATAATACATTTCTTTCAATATTAACAACTAGAGACCCAGTGCATGAATTTGTGCACAGGTGGGTTGCACTGGCTGGCAATTGGGGCTGATTGTGGCCGATGGGGGCCAGCCAGGAAGGCACTGTGGGAGGTTGGCTGGCTGGGGAGGGACCACAGGAGGTTGGCCAGCCAGGGATGGACCGCGGGAGGGCTCTAGGGCATGTCCGGCCCGTCTCGCCCAGTCCTGATCGGCTGGACTCCAGCAACAAGATAACCTACCAGTCGGAGCATCTGCCCCATGGTGGTCATTGCACATCATAGTGACTGGTTGAATGGTTGACTGAACAGTGGACTGTTCAGACACTTAGCATATTAGATTATATATATATATATATATATATATATATATATATATATATAGAGCTAATATTTATTGAAAAGAAATAATGGGCCAAACTACTCTACATGTTTAGGGTGAGAAATCAGAAGCTTAATAAAGTTTTAGGTTATTTCTCCAAGTCCCATAAGTAAAGGAAGAGTCAGGACTCAAATCCAGGTCAGACTTACTCCAACATATTTGCTTCTTCTTACAAATTGTTATCTAGGGAATAAATGTGTTGATTGTTAGAACATAGGGCACCGAGTTTCCTACTATTACTTCAACCCACTAAATCTGTTTACTGAAAATTATGATATTGTATAAGATTATAAAGAAAGCACCTGATACAGCATCTAAAATTCAAGATACATTTTACAGTCTTTGCTTTTATTTACTTGGTGGTAACATTAAAACTGTTATTAACCTAATTCTGTAGATGAAGGAACGTAGGATCAAATAGTTAAAGAATGTCCCTACTGTGATTTCTCAGTGTGAGATCCTCCTACGAATCTGTACACTCTTCCCAACAAATCAATGTACTTCCTCTCTCTCAAATGCCTTGTACCAACCTTGCTTACCTAGCAACTGTCTCCCCATCTCCAAATCCCCAAACGACTAACAAGACATCATTTTCATTTGTGATTTTTCCTGACTACTTCCTCTGAAACACACACACACACACACACACACACACACACACATACACACATATTTTATTTATTTTGTGTTGTCAGCATATAATAATTCCATAACATAATAATCTCTTTGGGTTAAAAATTATCCTGTAATGTCAAAAGTGTTTGTTTATTAAAGTTCACGTTTCTCTCTTCTTATTTATATTCATTTATTTTTTGTGGCAAACTATCTCAGCTTTAAAATTTTGATTAAGACTATCCCTTTAAACATTACTAACATTTTATTCAGGGATATATTCCCTTCTTGAGAAATAGTAAAAATTGGCATAATACCAAGTTGGCTGATTCAGCAAGAATGCACCTGGCAAACAAATGATTTTGTTTTCTACATACTTTTAGGTATTCTGCTGTGGGAAGCTATAATGGGTCACACAGTGACTGGAGACAAACCTCATGCAAATTAGATTTTAATTTCTTACTGTTTTATATCACCAATATTGATTCTTTCATAGATATAGAAGCCTTACATGTATTTTGGTAATATATGCCATGTAATACTTCTATTTTACTTTACTTACCTCCCTGCGAAAGTTCCTCCATTTGAAGAATTAAAAATTAAACCTGTGCCAGTTTGTTCAGTGATTAGAGCATCAGCCCTAGCACCAAAGGGTTAAGGGTTTGATTCCTGTCAAGGGCATGTACCTGGGTTGCAGTCTCAATCCCTGGCCTGATGGGGGTGAGTGTGGGAGGCAACCAATCTATGTGTCTTTCTCACATGGATGTTTCTCTTTTCCCCTCGCTCTCCCCCTGCTCCCTTCCATTCTATCTAAAAGCAATGGAAAATATCATGGGGTTTGAATTTTTTTTAATTCACACCACATGATAAGTCAATATTTTGGCCAGATCATTATAGTTAGTTGCTTTTTAAAAATAGAAACACTGTTTTATAAATATAGACTTGAACTCAGTAAGAGACCATGAATGCTTTAAAGTATAGTTATATAGGTATATTCTAAAAGCCAAAACCTTAAAAACTATCATAACTCCATAAAATGTTTCAAATATTTTTCCTAGCTTTTGGCTGAGATATGAGCAGTATTTGTCCTCAAAATAATTAATACGGAGTAGTAAACTAAATATATTGGATTTCTTCAGTGTCCTAGCAATTATACCAAATTTTGTATATTTTCAACATATTTTACTGTCAAAATAATTTGATGTAGTAGATATGATATCCATGTTATAGAAGCAGAAGTTAAGGTTAACTGTTCAAAATCACACATCTTGTAAGAAATAAACCATGTATGTTGGGCTCTCAAATCTATACCACCTTTATGTCCTGTTTACTAGAGAAAATGTGGTACAGTTATGAGACTATTAGAATAACTTTTATTTTTAATTTTTAAAAAATTTATACTTAGTTTTTATTCAATGTGTGTGAGGGTATTGATAACATTAACAGGGGTTTCATGTTGGTATTGAAAATAGCAAGTCACTGATTACCATAGGAAAGAGAGGATTTATATTAGCTAAATGTAATGGAATATAATTTTGAATTTTTTGCTAAGTTCTATTAAAACCCCATTTATTTAATATAACTTCCTTTGTTAAAACCCTAAGCTTTTAAACAGATGTCCTATAAAATGGTAAGGAATATAAATTTTTAAAAATACAAACCACCAAAGATAAACAGGGTATATAGGATGATAAAATACATTTGTTAAAATTACTAGTTGTAAAAATGAAGTCTGTGTTGTTTATATTGTAATAGTAAAAATCAGAAGCTAGAAAAATCATTATGAAATTTCAGTGTTGACTATGTGAATTTTGTAGATTTAAATATTAAATGTAAATTTTGTAGGTTTAATAGTGAAACATAAACCAAGTCCTAGGTAAGAACCCAAGTCTACTTCTAATTGAGAATAAGTTCTATGACAAGATGTTTGCAATAATTATAAAATATTCTAATTCAAAAGTAGATTTATTTAATTCAGTGTTTACAATGTCATAGGGACACCTCTCGTGAAAATAAAATTGAGTATCAGACTTCCCCTATCCTCTTTCAAATATGGCAATATCTTTGTATGCAGGCCCAGAGCTGTAGTGTAACTGAGTGGATGGAAATGAGCTATAGGATACAGAAGACATGGGCTTGAGTCAGACCACAATGGTCTACCCATCTGTAACTGGATAAGTTTCAACATAGGTGTCGACCTTTGTCTATCTTCATGATATCAATGGCAGCCTCATCCATGACTCCCACCAAGTATGGTACACGGCACACAGAAAGAAATAAGGGTGGATTTTTTTTAAATTTATTGGAAAGTGGTATTGTTATGTGATCAGGTCACCTGCCTATACAGGTTTATCATACCTATGGCCAGTGTGAAAAGTACACAGAGGGCTAACACGGTCTCCAGGCAAACTCTTAATAAGAAGCTGTGTTCCTAAGCCTTGCCATATAAACAAAATTTTGTGTGTCTTTCTAGTAGAATATTAAAAGCCTACAGTGAGCTTTATGTTTATATTTGACATACATAGATGAAGACAATTTCCAGAAACATCTCTGGGCCAGCTCAACTCAGCATCACATGATCCAGTGGGAGCACAGTGACCTGGAAACTGATTCTCCATTGTATAATTACATATGTCTATACACACACAAACACAGAGACAAACACATTCTGCTTTTAAAGCAATATAAGAATATGCTTAAAATCATTTAAATAGTTTATAAATGTGACATGCCATATGAAATAGGACACTGAGCAGAAAAAAAGATGATTAAAATAATTGAATGTGATAGAATCATGGTACTTTACAAAAAATAGGATAGAAAATGCGATCCAATAATAACAATAAAGTTAATTTTTGAGACACGAATATAAATCATGAGACAGATAGAAAAAATTCAATATGTAATTAACCATAACTTCACCAAAGTGCTTAGGCTATCTGGAAAGAGGAAAATCTTTGCATAGAAGAGTGACATTTGACAATCAGGCTCTACAAATGGTAAGGCTGGGAAGGTTGCGATTCCATAGGGCAGACAACAACAGCCAGGGTGGCAATCACAAAATGAACAGTATGTAAGCCTTTCTATTCCACTTCTAAACTTCACACGATGACAGTCTCATTGCCTCAGTCATCATCTAAAATAAGAGAAAGAAAAATTATCATTAGTGCACTTACATAGCCAAGATATTAGTAGTAACGTAGGCGGAGGTATCATTTCTTCCCTTTATGGCCTTTTTGAGTCAAGGTAAAACTGAATTTTGCTGTAGCTTTAGCATATATGTGCTCATGGGAACAACTATTATCCCCATCTAGACAATATTTCCTGACTGGTAATCTTACACAGATAACCTAAGGGATATTGCTGAATATATTAATTCATAATTATATAGTTTGTAGATAAATCTCACTGGATTTTTTCTCTCTCTAAAATGACTTGTCAGAACAAAATATGGTCTTACCAGTACATACAAACAGGCTAGTGGAACTGATTTTTCTATCCTAAATACAAGGAGTATAACTAGGAGGCCTTGGGCGGGGGCCCTGGCCGGCTGCAGTGGGCTCGGCCGCATTGCTGGAAGAATGCTATGTGCATGGTCATTGGTGTCAGAACCGGCAGGACTTGGCTCCCACTTTGGACATCTCTGTGTGGGCACCTCAACGATAGTTATATTTAACTTAGATGACATTGTGCAGACTTTCAGATATCTCTCTGTTTAAAACTTGTGCTGCAAGGTGAGAGATCAGAACAAGGAAGGCCGAGATTTAGGGAGGACCCTGCTGTGACCTTGGTGTGTTCCTAAAAACTCACATGAGAATCCGGGGCCCAATGTGATAGTGTTAGAAGGTGTGACCTTTGGGAGGTGATTAGGTCCCATGGGTGGAGCCCCCATGATTAAGATTAGTGCCCTTATAAGAGACCCTACAGAGTTCCCTAGTCCCTTCCACCATGAAAGGACTCATAGAGAAGTCTGGCTTTGAAAGAGGGCCTCACCCGGTCATGCTGGCACCCTGACCTCAGACATCCAGCCCCCAGAACTGTGACAAATAAATGGTTTTTGTTGTTGTTTATAAGCCACCCAGTCTGTGGTAATAGAAGTGGGCCTGACTGTATTTTCAAGAATGAAAGCCAAAGGAAAATGAAATGGGATATAATTCCTGCTAGCTGCTACCCTTCCCACTGCAGAATAAAAACAAGCAAAGTCAAGGAAAAGGAAAAATGATGCATTTTTAATGATACTGTTTTATCATTTTCACTTTTTTCTTTACTAATCTTTAAAGACAAATCTATTCATATTGCCACTAGATTTTTTAACACTCCAAGTAAACAGCATGTTTTGATATAAGAAATGGTAAAATGTTTTAAGTTTTTCTGATGTTAAGGTTATATAAAACTGGAAAAGGGCTCAGTAGTAACACAAGTGATTCTGGAAGGCTGAGTTTATAAACATTAACAATGAGATCCTATGTTCTAATGGGACATGCACAAGCTTGTTTCCTCTGGTTTGAACCGGAAGATTTCTCTAGTGTTCTTTCTCTCTCTCTCTCTCTCTCTCTCTCTCTCTCTCTCTCTCTCTCTCTCTCCCTCCCTCCCTCCTTGCCTCCCTCCCTCTCTTTCTCCTTCTCCCTCCCTGAAACAGCTTCTGTAGGCTCAGTTATGACAAAGTAATTTCCTTACAGATAGGGAGCTTGTCTTCTGAAGAAATGAAAAGACCTGAGCAGATTCCCACCCATAATAAAAAGCTGTCAGAATGTCTAACTGCAATAATGTAGTTAAGGGCAGAAATAAAACATCTTTATCTTGTCCAGCATAGGCTATAAGTGTCAGGAATATTTTCTTGCTTCATTATTCTGAACATAAACACTATATTTCTCTTTACAGAAGAAGAAGCATGTTAAGTAAAAAACATCACTTTTCAAAAAAAATTTTGTGATGAACATTTTACTAGTCCTGCAATGAATGTTTTGCTTCTCTTGAATTATGTAACTGCTTTCAGGGGATTTGAAAAATAATTATTTCAGTAAAAGGGCATACAGCTCCTGCACTTGCATAATTTCCCATAAGCAAAATTAAGTCAGAATTATAGAAGTATATCACCACAAGTCCAGGTGGCTCTGAGGCAATGCCTGGAAGAAATCAGAAAGCTGTGAGTCAACAAGAATCAGGTGAGCCTCCAGCTCTATGTGTCCTCAGCAATCTCCCTTCAATGATCACTTGGAGTAGTACATAAACTGTGCATGGCATGGACAAGATTTAACAATGAAAAGCAGTGAAATGTTTTGGCAATAACAGAAGCACAAAGTAAGGAAACAGAGGGGAAGAAATACACTATATTAAATTTAAGAGAGGTTGAAAACTATGGATGAAATTGGGGCGTGGCCTTCCATTAAGCTAAGGGATTCATGGAGGAAAACAAGATTGGCAGTGAGACAAGGGTGATCTGAGTGAGTGGTCTGCATTTGTCAAATTATTTGCATATGAAAACTTCCCCATTTCCAAACCAAGATCCTGGGAAGGGATTTTTTGAAGCTTTTTGGAGCTCTTTAGATGTCTTGGTTAAACTATAGTCTTTAGCCATGATATTCTATGTATTATTGACAAAAATGTAAACCAAAAAGTAGCCCCAAATAGCCCACTATTGTTTATGCAGCATCCTGACATTTCCTATGGGTTTTTTTTCTTTGTTGAGCATTCAAAATGCAATTTTAATAACATTTTCACCTATTTTTACTCCTCTGCCCACCCCCACACACACACACTGAATCACACCCAAGCATCATGACCATGTTTGTCTGTCTAATCTGTTTCCAGCAGAATACAGCATCTGCAACAGAATAGGTGCCAATTACAAATTTGTTTATTTCATGAATGCCATATGATAGAAGTAGGTTAATGCCTTAATAGCAGTGGAAATAAAGGTATCTTTTTATGAGACTACTAGAGGCCTGATGCATGAAATTCATGCAAGAGTAGGTTTTTGCAGCTGCAGCAGCTGCCTCGATCCCTTCCTCGCAGCTGGGGCAGCTGCCTCGATCCCACGGCTGCAGCCCCGGCTTTGTCCAGAAGGTCATCTGGAAGGACGTCCATACGGCCGTTCAGTCGATTTGCATATTATGCTTTTATTATAATAGATTGATGACACAAATTATTAGCTTCCTCACCTTTCAACTCAGAGTTTCTATTTTATTAGGCGTGTCTCTTAAATTATCAATATTTTCATTTTCTTCAGATAGATACCCAGAAGTGGAATTGTTGGGTCATTTGGTGGTTCCATTTTTAATTTTTTGAGGAATCTCCATACTGTTGGCCACAATGACTGTACTAATTAGCAATCCCACAGATAGTACACAAGGGTTCCCATTTTCTCCAAATCCTTGCCAACACTTGTTATTTGTTATCATTTTGATAACTTTTTTTCTTATTAGATGTCAGTGTAATGTCTAAAACACCATTATATCACATTTGGTTTATATTTTTTATTCAGCCAGAATATTGAAAGGATCAGATATGTAATTACAGCACCATACATTCAATTTTCCTAGATTAATGATGCTCTATATAGGCAGCAATTTGGAAAATGTAATTTATTGTGCTGAAACAATAATTCATTTAATGGTATGAGTGACCCATAAAATCTAATGCAATTTTAGAGGTGTCTAATATAGTCCCAAAGAATAGCTAAGAGAAAGTGGGTCACTGTGTAAGCAAACATCTACATCCCTAAGAAGAGTGGTGATAATGATTCAGAAATAGAGACCAAAGAACCACAACAGAATAATGCAACTTTGCAAATTGTTTCATGCATATAAAAGAAAGCAACTGTCTGTAAGTGGTGATGCATTTTATTTGAAAAACTGTATACTAGCTCTTTAAAAGTGTTCATGATTACAGTGGGGAGTAGGAGAACATTTCACTTACACATTTCTTAAATGCTTTCAACCATATTTTCTCTTTTGATTACATTATAATTCTGTGATATAAAATATAGATATGACTCTAAACCACACACACATACAGCTAACCTGGGTAACTGGATTTTCCATGTTACATATGAATCTTCTCATTCAAAACAGTTACTGCATTTACTCTAATGCATATATACTCTATATATACACCCAAAGATTTAATTTTTGCTAAGATTAGCTAAAATAGGAGACTTCATATAAATTTGTTTTTTTAATGTATATTATTTTCACTTGGCTGAAATCAAAATTTCTTATTTGCAGTATATTCAAATATGGGTCATTACCTGTGCACAGGAATAATGAAATCAATCCAATATACAGGGTGGGGCAAAAGTAGGTTTACAGTTGTCTGTATGGAAAATAATATAATAATTAGTAAATAATACAAGAATAAACTCTGTGTTTTGTATACTCACAGCTATAAACCTACTTTTGCCCCACCCTATATAGCTTAAAGAATTCCAGTGATGATATAGCATTTCAAAATGAAATGCCATTCTTTAACATTCAATGAAATGAAGAATAGTTTTCATTTTCAATTGTGACTTTGAGTGGTTTCATTTCAGAAGATATCACAAAAGGAAAGAAGATGTATGTGTAATTGTTTCAGAATTATTTTGGAATAATGAGAGAACTGTTGCTATAAGATTATAAGTAAAACAATTCAATGTAAGAAAGAGATTTTTCCATAATAGGAAGTGTCTGAAAATAATAGAATTCCATATGGTATAGTGAACTCCCTAACACAGGAATGATTTAAGTTCAGGTAAGGCTATCAGAGGGATTTTACAAGGACGTGATGAGGAGTTTGTTAATCTTTATGGCTTCTTCCAGTTCTAGTTCTCTAAGATTCTGAAAATTTTGATTCTCTATGAAGCCTTCAAATGCTGATTTTTAAAAATTCCTTTATTCATAAATTCAATAAATATTTGTTTAGGCCCTATTACATTACCACAGACCATGTAGAAGTGCTGGGCATAGAAAGATAAATTAAACAAACATACAAAGACATGATCCCTGTCCTCAAGAGGCTTACATGTGGTAGAAAATTTGGATGTTAGACAAAAGCATGTGCCTGTATGCATGCAGGAGGTCATGTTTCGGTATGTGACATGAATAAAAAGATCAGATACTGTGAGATTTAGGGTGAAGTTCTATGGTATCTGGGAATGCCCACTAAGGAAGTAACATGTAAGCTGTCACCTAAAATAAGAGAAGTCAGGGGGGAAGGATGAACATGATGTCATGGCCATAAAGATGCATGGTGCCAAAGTAGCGCTATGGGTAGAGCTTTGCAGTTTCAGGAAATTAAAAGCAAATATCAATGCTGCTGAAGCATAAAGAAGGAACAGAGAAGAGCATAGAAACCCATTTAGTAGGCTTACATCATCCCAAGTTTTATAGGTCATTGTAAGCAGTTCAAATATTTATTCTAAAGTTAATGAGAAGCTATTAAAAAGTTTTCACCTGAAGAGTGACATAATATAAATTATGTTTCTACAACACCTCTTTCATGTAGGCTATGCCCTGGAAGTAACTGGAGATAGGAGTTGGAAGTAAGAATCCCAGGGAGAGATAATGGTAATCTAGACCAGAATAGGAGCAGGAAAGAAGGTATGAAGTTAAGAGGAGATTGAATTTTCTGATTCGTTAGGGAATGGCTGAAATAGAATGTCAAAAATGTAATAGTTTCTCAACAAAACCAGATAGCTAGGTATAGGACTTATCCAACTGCTTCAAACAATTATCAAAATGGAGTGGAATGTATAAAAACACAGTTGAAAGCACTGGACTATGCTATGAATTTTAAGAGAAGAAAAAGCACATGAACTGAGACCCACACTAACCCTGGATTTCTCACTGGAGGAATTGTTCAAAATGCTGCAGAGAGAAATAGAGCCAGACAGGCAGCACTGGTCTTCCTGCGTGAGAAACAGGGCAATGAAAAGGAAAGATCAGAAATGCAAGTTGTATCGGAAAGAAAACCAGTCATAGCTGAGTACATGACTCAAGTCTGCCTTACTATATAGTCATAGTAATCTAAACCCTGGATATTGAAATAAACAAATTTTTAGTGAAACTGTATTGAGAGGAGGGTGTGATATTCAGGGAAGAAAATGTGCATGCCTGGTAAAGAAGAAAGAGGGAATTACCAGCAAATTATCTTCTATAGCATGAAATCAATAAATAATGTAAACAGTGGAGGTGAAAACCTTATCAGTTAGAGCTTGGATGAAAAGAAGCAAGTAATATGCCAATAGTAGGAAATGCTGTTTATGTCAACAAACCTTCTAGGAATAGTTGATTCTATAAAATATGTGCTTATATAGCTTTGATTAAAGATTAGGAAATAAATGTGATAATATTCTTTGTACAGAGAAGAATTTTCAGGAGATACTATTTCACAAATGCCTCTAATGACTGAAAATCCACGGAATGATGGAGATTTTTAAGAGGGATGCACCAATAATATTAACCCACAAAAGATGGCATATTTCCCTGCAAATCAGAAATTTTAAGGTATTTCTAAAATGGATGATTCATAGTATAACTTACTGAATTTGCTTAAATTTGAGTCACTCAAATTTAAATGCAAATTTGGCATTTAAGATTTGTAAACAATGTAAAGTGCTATTAACATGCATAAATTGCTTTTCCACATAATATATTTCTCTTATTCAGAAAACAGACATTCCAGAAAGTCACTAGTAATGACAAAACAGAACACTGTTATGAGTGATATTTTCCCATATAAGTAATCTGAGAATTGATTTATATGCTCAAATTTTAGAGGGTGGGCACTAAAGACAAAGCATAGAACAATGGTGGATATTTTTAACTTGTGGCTTGATGTAGAAAATGACCATTTTAAGTGGTTCAGGCAAAGCCAATATTATATATATATATATATATATATATATATATATATATATATATGCCTAAGTGACCATGTGACCAGTAGCTATGATGCACATTGACCACCAGGGAGCAGACGCTCAACACAGGAGCTGCTGAGCTGCGGTGACTTGGCAGCTGCGGTTCTCAGGTGACGCACCCAGAACCAGAGAGGAGGGAGCCTGATTCCAGGTGCATCACCCGAGAACCGCCCTCTTGCAATCCAGGATCCTCGGGGGATGTCAGAAAGCTGGTTTCAGCCCGATCCCCAGAGGCCAGGCCAAGTGACCCCACTGGTGCACGAATCCATGCACCGGGCCCCTAGTAATAATAATAATAATAAAGGAACATATATGATGACAGAAGGAGACTAGACTTTGGGTAGTGAGTATACAGTGCAGTATACAGATGGTTCAATATATTGCATAGTGATCACCACAATCTAGTTCACATCTGTCATTATACACAGTTATAAAAATTTATTTTTTCTTGTGATGAGAACTTTTAAGATTTTCTCTGTTAGTAGCTTTCAGGTATACAACATAGCATTATTAACTATAGTCACCATGCTGCACATCACATCTCCAGGACTTACTTTATAAGTGGAAGTTGGTACTTTTTGATCCCCTTCACCCATTTCACCCACCCTCAACTAACCATCCCCCTCCTCTGGCAACCATGAGCTTGTCTTTTTTTTTAAAGTCCACATGTAAGTGACATCATATGGTATTTGTCTTCTCTGACTTATGTCACATAGAAAAATGCCTTTAAAGTTCATCCATGTCATTACAAAAGGCAAGATTTTATTTTTTGTGGCTAAATATTTATATTTATTTATCCCGTCATCTATCAATATACATTTAGGTTTTCCCTGTCTTGGCCATTGTCAATAATGCTGCCGTGAACATGGGGTGGCAGATATCTTTTCAAATTAGTGTTTTGTTCCTTTGGATAAATACCCAGAAATAAAATTGCTGGATCATATGGTAGTTCTACTGTACTTTAAATTTTCGAGGATTGTTGGTACTCTTTTTCCATAGTGGCTGCACCAATTTACATTCTCACCAATATTGTGTAAGGGTTCCCCTTTTTCCCACATTCTCACCGAAATTTATTTATTGTCCTCTTGATAATTACCATTCTAACTAGTGTGAGGTGATAGCTCATTCTGGTTTTGATTTGCATTTTTCCTGAAGATTACTTACGTTCAGCATCTTTTCATGTGTCTGTTGGCCATCTGTATGTCTTCTTTGGAAAATTGTCTATTCAGATCTTCTGCCCATTTTTAAGTTGGATTGTTTAGAATATTTTTGCTATTGAGTTATATATTCACTTTACATATTTTGGATATTAAAGCCTTATTATATATAAGACTTTCAAATATTTTTCCATTTAGTAGTAGGTTGGCTTTTCTTTTGTTGATACTTTTTGCTGTGCAGAAAATTTTTAGTTTGATGTAGCCACGCTTCTTTATTTTTGCTATTGTTGCCTTTGCTTTAGAAATAAGATCCTAAATATCATCAAGACCAATGTCTAGGAGTTACTACCTATATTTTCTCCTAGTTTTATGGTTTTAGGAATTATATTCCAACCTTTCAGTCATTTGGAGTTCATTTTAGTCGTCCCTTTTCATTCTTTTGCAGGTCCAGTTTTCCCAACACTATTTATTGAAGAGACATTTTTTCTCATTACACATTTTTGGTTCCTTTGTTTTAAATTAATTGACCATATATGTGTGGGTTTATTTCTGTTCCATTGATCTGTGTGTCTTTTTTTGCCAACACCATACTGTTTTAATTACAATAGCTTTGTAATATAGTTTAAAATCAGAGAATATGTAATTGCAGATTTGTTGGCTATTCAGAGCCTTTTATGATTACTTAAAATTTTAGGGTTTGTTTTTTCTATTTGTGTGAAAAATGCTACTAGAATTTTGACACGAGTTGCATTGAATCTGTAGCTTGCTTTGGGTTATATGGATATTTTAACAATTATTTTGTCTAATTCATGCACATAGAATATCTTTCCATTTATTTGCTTATCTCATTTTTTATATTTATTGCATATTGATAATATGTTGGACTAAATATACTATATTATTACAGTTATTTTCATCAATTTCTTTTTTTACATGGCTAATATCTGGCTCACATTATATTTCTGTTACCTAGTCATGTTCGAGAATTTAATTTTCAATACTGGAGACTGAGTAGAAGAGAGAGTGGGTCAGCTCATTTTTAGAGAACACTTAATATTCTTAGTAATGCAAATCTGATTACGTAATCCTCTGTAGAAGCCACAAGGAAAGTTTTAGGAACTAGCAATTATTTTGCCCACTAAACATATTTTCTGTATTTTTAATAGAATTTATTACAGTGTTTTATTAATCATTCTGTATTGGCAATGACTGTATTATATTCCAAGTGACATTTAAATGACCTAAAACTACTGCAG